AGAATTAAATGTTAATGCCCTTGAAACGTCAACTCAGCTAGTTCAAGTATATTACAAGGCTTTTCAGCATCGCAAGGTATTCATATCAGAATTTAATTGTATATATATCTGTATATTCATTTTTGATCAGAAGAATCATGAAATTCAAATCAATTAACAGAATTTAGCTTATTAAAAGAGAGAAGGAAAAAAACACCTCAAAAGTGCTGCTTCGTTTCCTTCTATTCATAAAAGAGGACATATGCCTCCTTACTCACAAGCAAATTAGGTGAAATTTGGGGACACATGTGAATCATTGTTTTCATGGCACGTTTTGGAAGATGCAGCGATATTACTGTCGTTGCGCGACTTCTTCAACCTTCTGTGGGTTCCTTCCGTGGAGGTGCACAAGTGAGGAAGGTTTCCTGCAGGGGCAGCCGGTTCCTTACCTTTATTCAAGGCGGAGCTTTTGGCGCCCGCCGCAAGAAATGCCCTTGCTGTTGGAGGTGATCTGCTATGTCCAGCCTCATTCCAAGCGGTAGATTGGGGTGGAAATTTCTGTTCATCGCCAGCCACCGCCTCAGATTGAGGTGAGCACTTCTGTCCATCCTCGGTATTGGTTTTTGTTTTTGTTGTTTCTGTTGTTTCATTCATGTGTGTTCACACGAGTAGCAAGGGAAGAGTTGGTCACCTCTGGTAGAGCCCCGTATTACCAGAGGTAGGTTGATTACAATGAGGTTTCGCCCAGTTTCCCAAGGTGATCGTTCGTGACCGCATATCACCCTGCGGCCATTCAGCTGTCGTCACGATTCCTTACACCTCAGCTTGGTGAGGTTGGTCCACGGTGGTATGTTTTGCAAAGGCTTTTGGAGGGTTTTAGTTTTCCCCACCCTACTCATTTCTGCCACTGACCAGGAGTCCGGCGACCCCGTCCGTAAGGCCACATTGGCTTCCCGGACAGGGCCTTCAGTCCCCTAGCCGTTTCCTTATCCGCCACCTGGGGACGCGCCCGATAGGTAGCCTAACCCAATGATAAAAATGATGTGCCAGTCATCCTCCAATTGAATGCCTGCGGGCGACGCAATGCTACGCTTTTTTTTCCGTAGCCTACCTCACCATACCGACCATAACCAGCGATGAAGAACTTCGTTTCAAGTTTATTTCTTTACGTTTGAAAATAACAAAAATACGAGCAACAACGTGAATATTATCGAAATTATATACGGTAGTTGGGGGTACAAGGGGAGAGGTAGGCAACTAACAAGTCTAATTACGCTCTAATTACGCTTACCGATGTGTTTTGCCAACCAAAAGTAGGAATTTTTTGTTATGCCACATCATACTTTTGACTCATTACCAAAGTGGGAGGGTGGGGATGGTTGTAACAGTTTTTATTGGGACAGTTGTAGCGATAATTTTATATTTTTTTTGTATTGCAGACATTTCGGAAACGCATAAGGAAGACTTCGGGGGGAAATCAACATGTTGTTGTACAAGAACGCTTACGATGAAGTAAAATCAAGACATAGGGATACGGGAAATGAAGATAACCATATGTATCTCATAAGTTTTTAAAAAAGACCAAGAGCAGCACTTATTGAAGTACTTGATTCGTTGCGCCGTCATTTATTTTGGTCCCTCCACAAAAAATAAAAAAAGTTGAATTTTGAACTTAGCATAAATTGCAATTTGAACGCTCTTTCCACTTGGCTAGAAAATGAAATACCTAAAAAATGTGGTTTAGTTCGTCTATGAAGAGAAATCCCAAACTATCTGTACACGTCACTCACGCCACAAGCCTGTCCTAAACGATAAGTTCCAACCGAAATAATGTCGATATGTTTCATGGTGATCTTCAGATCGTTATGAATCGCCACCATTTTGAGCCTCAAAACATATACAATATAGTCGAAATCGACATCACCACAATGCAGAAACCTGACAGAGTTTTTGCAAGACGTGGCATAAAATTCAGACCCAGAGAGGCACATCTAGAAGCTAACAAAGAATCGCAAGCTGTTACACTGAATTTGGAACCAAATATACCTTCTAATGTTGTATTTCGTCAGCTTCAGAACCGTCTGCAAGCAACCAGCCTGTGTTCTCACCTGCAGCATTATCGTCCTCTCAACTGCAGCATTATCGTCCTATCCGTCCTACCTCCTCGGATAGTAGGAAACGAAGGTCGAAAAACCTAAAAGTCGGCGACCTACAGAGATACTCCAAAGAAAAGCTGTTAATAAAGAGTATGAACAGCGACAGAAACAGTTGAAGAATAAACAAACGAAGAAAAAAGTACTTGAAACATCTACTGGAAAGACAAACGAAAGCATAGGTGAAGCAAAGAAAATTCCAAAATCATCTCTTCGCTACAACTGAAATCTGGTGAGACGTACATTCCAACAAAAACCAAACTGTTCCCCACAATCGCACAACCCAATTACCCAATTACCCAGTCTAGCCTTCATTCACAGACGGGTCCATAAAAAGCCTAGAGTAAATTAGGAACAAAAGGGAGCACCTACAGAGACGGAAATGGTTTCTGAGAGAATATAGCGACGCGAGTGAAGCACGCAGCGTCGACTACGCGACCTTGACGCCCGCGACTCCTTTTCACAGCCTTCCATGATTCGCTGAAAGTGAAAGCTTCGCGACAGCGAACAGTGCGTTTCAGGGAACACGTGCATATCTACTCGTCGCGTCATGGAGATAGGTTAGGGATGTGGTTTTGATTTAGGATTATTTCCGTTGATTCCAATCCGCTCATTGGAATAGTTCAGGAATTGAAAAAGTCGAGAAATCAGGGTTTTTCATTAGCCATTTGAGTGTTTCTGCTTTTCATAATCTAAGAAAATCAAAATTGTTGAAAACGTTAGTTCGGGTCAAATCTCGCAACTGAATTTTAAAGCAGTTATTTTCAACCGATTAAACTTGTGATGCACTGTTTGGAACCTTTGGTGTAGTAATGAATATTACTGGAGTTTCATCACAACACCAAACCATTATTTTTACACCTTGACACGTGTTCGCATCACCAAGTGATCATCTTCAAGACGAAGATAGAACTGAAGGGCTTCAAGTTCCTCATTCAGAGTAGTCATTCCATTGTGCCTACTAATTTTCGTCTAATCTATATGTTAATTTTGTATATAGACTATAGCTATCTAATTCTAAGAGACTACGGTTAGTGTACAGATGATCGATTTTTTAATCAAGCCATTTTTCTTTGGAAAACTTCTGGACTGCAGATTTAGTAGGAATATTTGCGTGAAAAAATTTTGTTCGCTCGACAATCACCAACCTTTTCAATATTACCCAATATATCTCTGAAACCATTGGTAGGTGATTCCAAACTGATGTCATATACATATACGGACCTCTCTAAGGCGTTTGACAGACTTGATCACGGATTACTGCTCTCGAAATTCTATAGGTACGGCTTTTTTTACCCTGATCCCTATATCATACTTCACTGACAGGCCTCAGTATGTTATATTCAATGGCTTCAAGTCCGTGGAATATGCAGCTAACTCGGGTGTTCCACAAAGAAGCAACCTAGGTCCACTTCTCTTTCACGGCTTCATAAACGACATAGTTGAGGTCATTGACGTCAACTGTTTGATATACGCGGATGACCTGAAATTATATTGTGAGATCAATGGCATCCAGGACTGTCTTCAACTCCCTCCCAATCTGAAACGTGTGGAGCAATGGTGTTTCCGCCACAAACTTCCTTTAAACGCGAGTAAATGTATTGACGTACACACTAAGAAATCATCCATTTTCATATCAATATTCAATAAACAATATTCCACTTCAACGGCTTCTCACATTCACCGATCTAGGTGTTACCTTCGACACAAAACTTTCCTTCGTACCACACATTCAAGCCATTCTGTCTGCTGCAAACAGAATGTGTGGATTTATTGCACGAATCTCCATAGATTTCGCGGATCCATCTACATCGAAAACCTTATATTTTGCTTTCGTCGGATCAAAATTAGAATATGCATCCATAATCTGGAATCCATCTCATCAGTTGTATACAGATAAAGTTGAATCAGTACAACGTCGTTTCCTAAAACTTCTCTTCTATAGATCAGACAATATGTTTTTTATACTTTCAAAACTATATTTATTTTATCTAAACTTTCGGATCAATCAGCCGTATATTGTTTAGAAAAATGACCATTGATATTTTCCGATTCCGGAGAGGGAGCCTGAAAATCAGCTACCAAGCCCAAGGTAGCAGGAGCGCGAAGGAGGGTTACAAATGAGGCAGCAGGCGCGTGTGTTAATAAAAAAAATACGTATCCTNAATTTTCAGTTTAATTTCGAACAAGAGAGCTCTCTTGGATTTTCGAGTGAAAGAATCATTAACAAAACGAAAATCATATTAATTCACTTGAAAAAACCAAAATTAATATCTCCTGAAAATTACCTCTTTAATAATGCTCGTCGATTTCCTGTAACATCGCTTCCTCAATTCCAGCTGTTCTCGCACTTTTAGGTCTTCTTTCAAATGATCTTTTTTTGATAGTACCAGTTTACACAAAATGACATTTGAGATTGAAAAAGTTTCTACTAAATGGCAGAGCACGATTTGGATATCTCTGGTGATAAATGCATCTAGCTTGCTCTCCATTACCGTCGGCTAGATCATACACGTAAAGTAGATCTGTCAATTCCAAATTCACATAATTTCCCATCATTAAATTATATTCGTGTCTTGATGAAAAACCGGTGTGTCTGTACACCCTGCGTCTTCAAACAACCCGATCGAAGTTTCTGGAACTCCCTCCAGCTCAATCTTCTCATATCTGTTTGCCCGATAGACCCTCACCAGCCTGTCATACTCTTGATTGGTTCCGGACTATAGCAGGGGAGGTATACTGAACCAATGGCGACTGGTAATAATTTAACCGTTCAAAATCGTCGTGAAAAATCAATCACGACGGTTTTCTGCCACACACCGACCGGATTACCCGAGCAGTTTTGCACGTCGGGTAATCCTGTCGAAAAAGATCGACGTCTGTAGGGGCCTTTAGCGAACATTGCATCGTACCTAAGCAGTTCGACTTGTTAAATTCGGAGGTTATACGTGTTGTTAACCTGTTCAAGACATTATAGTAATACAAGATTTGTCTATGTTTCAGAGCTCTGACGGCGCCCCCTGGTTCAACTCTGCCACTGGGAATCATGAAAACGGAGCTCAGACAAATGTCCTATATGCTTTCCAAAGATGCTAGTATTGCTGAAGAAGTTGAAAGAAGAAAGGTGGTATGTATAAATGATGAAAAGACAAATAATCAATGGGGTGATTTTTAGTTGAAAATGAAGGTTAGACTGGAACGACAGCCAGTTCTTGCAAAAGTACGGGCAGTTACAAGTCTTCTTAAGCTTTGGTACTCGAAAGAACAGGCTAAGGGGGTAATTATTTCTCTAGGAGTTTGTTCGAATGGTGAGTAAGTCGAAGAATGATTAAGAAGTAACATAAATACCGACAATTTCTTCCATATTATTTTGATTATCTTATATCCATTCATTTGTTTCTCCATTATCTCAATCCAAATGATTTTCCGAGAAAAAATAGTTCCGATTTTGAGACGGAGCTTCTTCTGAAAGAGCGATGTCAGAACCGTGAAATACTTCTATTCGTGGATGGTACTGATATTGACAGTTTTTAACCCATTTATGCCCAGAACTTTTTTATGTTTATTTTTTTTATGAAACTTGTATATGTGTTAAAAATGTGATTTTTATGATGGGTTGATACTACAAATAAAAATTTAAAGGTCAGTTTTTGAAATATGATGTGGGTCATTTTCGACCCACTTTATTTTCTCAGCATGTATGATTTGAAAAAATGTAAGTAGATATATTTTATGGAACTATTATGTAACTACCAAACTTTCCAATTCTAGGATATTTTTTTATTTTTAGTATCACGTGTACCTTGTGTTGTTCAAATTAATTCAACAGAAACATATACTGTTCTATATTTGGTATTCTCGGTTTCCACTTACAATATACCAAGACACTTCTCATTTGAAATTATTAACGACAATTGTTTTTTGTGCGGTGCATTAGGTTCGACAACCTTTTTAGGGAAATAGTATTATAGAAAACCTCGAGAAAGGCGAATTATCTATTGGTTTGTTTCATATTATGGAACATTATGTGGTAGGAAAGATTGCACGGGTTAAATTGAAAAACGTATTGTACTGTTACCTATCGTGAATCATGTAAAAGTTTTGATGGTTTCCATGGTTTCTACCATTGGGTATCAATGAAAATAAGACTGAATACAGTATATGAGAAATGAAGAATAAATGCACCTCACTGAATTTGAACTGGTAAGTTTTAATATACAAAGTATCCTGAAATCTCATTTTTTTTAAATACAGTTTGTGCTTATATCTGAAAAAACCAACATCTTTTCACAACTTCTATATTCAGTAATATATCTCACCAAATAGGTAGCGTTTTATTACTACTTTCAGAATCGACGATGCTTGTGTTGTGTTTTTACTACTTATTACTATTTAGTTTAGAAACATTTCACTTCGTTATTGATTTTTATTTTTGTATTAAAAATTCTTGTTAGGAAGTTAACTTTTCACAACTCTATTATCGAGCAGTCGTACAAAATATCCATCTGATTGGGTTTTTCATGGTAATTCTTTTATTTTAATTTTTACTCACCATTCTTGTATTTTTTCATCGCATATCATTGAAAGGCTCTCGTCTCTTGAATCGAAGTTTATTGCCGAAAAACACATGAATATTTCCACCTATTTCCTCCTTTGCCATCGTAAAAAAAGGACATAAAATATACTTTCGAACATACAATAATATAATGAAGGGTTTCAAAAATTGATTTTGAAAGATTTCTGTATATGCATAATGTCCATGTTTGTTATTATTCAGCAACCGTTAAGAAAAATGAAAATATTTAAATCAATGAAGAGTATATGTAGAAAAGTTGAGAATGTAGTGGCTGACTAATTTAGGTGTAGTGCATGGGTTGAATTTTAGGTTTTAAATTATTGCATTATATTTCATTTAAGAAGTCGTATTTTGAAAATATTGTCCCATTTCAAAAATGAAGACAATATGTATTTCTCAATCGACTGTTTCAATTTACATTGCCTTAATCAGTTCTCCACTCAAGTTATTTTGGATCGAAAAGTTATTCTCGACAGTAACCTTAACCCATTTTGGGCTTGTATACAAAACTGCGGTGCGACATCGCAATGCAAAAATCTGCGAGCTCGCACTACGCATCGCAAGAACTTACGAATTGATTGGGATGAACCCAAAATCTTCTTTGTTTCTTCTGCCTGTATCTCCTAAGCAATAACAAAAGTGCACACTTCTTTTTACAATCCATGTCACCTCCCACATCTAGTACCTGTACAGGACCTAGTTTTCAAAATACGTCCAGTACGGTTGACGGTCGTCGAAGGAATGGTCACACTAGGGAGCCATTCGCATCGCAGCAATTCGTGTCGCAACTTTCTGCGTTGCGAATTCGCATCGCGTCTCATCGCAGTTTTGTGTACATGCCCTTAGGGCTTGTACACAAAACTGCGGTGCGATGTCGCAACGCAAAAATCTGCGAGCTCGCACTTCGCATCGCAAGAACTTACGAATTGATTCGCAACGTGCATTTCTGCGATGTTACACACACTTTTTATAGTTCGCTCTGAGACAGTGTGTGGGCAAGACGTATGATTTATTGTAAACAAAATGACAGAGTACGACGTTGATTTTTTTATATCACTGATTTTAACAGAATTGCATCAACCTCATGGCTACTACTATCCGAATAGCAACTACCAAGGTGGCTATCAAACTCTAAATTTTGCAACAGCTCAACAAACGCCACTGAAACGTCCACATTCATCTAAAATACCAGATCAAATTGATTTACCTAGTAATAATTGTTCTAAATCGAGCATATTAAGCACACTTTCAACAGAAGAAGACTTTGATTTTTTGTAAATTTTATCGATTGTAATATTTGAAAACTCTTTTCTCAATAAAAACAAAAGTAAATAATCATTGTTTTACTTACCGGATAGAGAGGCCAAGAATTTCAAGAGGCGTAACAGGATCTCTCCCCTTGTACGATCGTTTCTGAAGATATGGTGATAATAAATTCAAAAGCTCTTCGAATGAAGATATGCTCATTCTAAAAAAATCAAAAAACTTTTGGTCGTCTGTTTTCAAAGCTTCATATTTTCGATGAAAATAGTTCCCTTCGGCGTTCATAATAGTAATAAATGGATGAACCCAAAATCTTCTTTGTTTCTTTTGCCTGTATCTCCTAAGCAATAACAAAAGTGCACACTTCTTTTTACGATCCATGTCACCTCCCACATTGAGTACCTGTACACGACCTAGTTTTCAAAATACGTCCAGTACGGTTGACGGTTGTCGAAGGAATGGTCACCCTACGGAGCCACTTGCCGCAAGAATTCGCATCGCAGCAATTCGTGTCGCAACTTTCTGCGTTGCAAATTCGCATCGCGTCACATCGCAGTTTTGTGTACATGCCCTTATGCCTTTTTTATTTTTATTTTTTTTTATGAAACTTGTATATGTGGTAAAAATGTCATTTTTATGATGGGTTGATACTAAAAATGAAAATTTAAAGGTCACTTTTTGAAATATGATGTGGGTGATTTTCGACCCACTTGGGCAAATTAATGTACTTTTTTGTTGTGTGATACTTAAAATTGAGAATGCATTTCTTTAATGTTAAGTCATGGTATTATATAGGAAAATAAAACCCAACTGTTATTGAAAGTTATATTTTATAACAGAAACTTGAAACTTTTTTTATGATAATCTAGAAAATATTTATCATGAAAGATAACTTTACATTGATCGCATGCCTTGGTTGTTATATTTTTACAAAAAGCACATCTTCGTCGTGTTTGACTGGTCACAACCAGATGCTGACCCTGTCGACGTGCCGCTGGACTTACAGAATGGAATGTTGGACCTGTGGCAAAAGGAGATTTTCCATATTTTTGTAATATAGCGATTACAGCTCTTCTGCGAAATTCCAAATTGTCCAACTTCAAACCAAATTTGCAAGACAAAACCCAGGAATTACACATACATATGTCAAACATCCAAAATAAAACAGGAGTATACCATTTTTTCCCTCGCAGACCTATACGATAATTTGCAATATTATTATCCATCTGATCTACCCCTCCCATATATTTATTATAATATTGCACGACGTGTGGTTGCTGTATGTCTACTTCTTTTTTATGTGTTGATGCATATCTTGTTGCTTTTTGGATTGGGCATAAACCATATTCATTTGACAACAAGGTAACAACATTGTTGTCTTTCCATCTCACACAAACAATGTTTTTATCTTTGTCAACTGCACTATCGTAGACACCTCGATCTTTCTTTTTCATTACAGCCAAATTTTCAAGAGGACATTTATCTGTTCTGTTTTCTCGAACGGTACCAGTTGCACCAAAACCCATTTTTCCGAGTTTACTTATAAGTGAAGCACTTGTAAAAAAATTTTCAAAGTACAAAGAAAACTCACTATCGGAAAATTTATTTTGGAGCAAGTTGGCAAACGTTGTAACCACATGCCCTCCAAGGCCCATCTTCTTTTCTTCTCTGTTCATACTCCTCCCTTGGTATATATTAAAATTCACACAGTACCCGCACGATAGAGCAAGAACCCATGCTTTGTAGCCAAAACGAATGGGATTTCCTTTTATGAATTGCTTACATCCGTTTCGGCCAAAGTACGGGATCATAGATTGTCAATGGATAATTCCGAACAGACAGGTACATATTTTACAAAAATATCATTCATTTTTTCTATCAGGGGACGTAACTTAAGCCAATTTATCATTCTCTGCCAAGTTATTGTTGTCTGCTGCATGTAGGAATCTGAATATTTCCTCAAATCTATTTCTACGCATGGAGTTATATACCAGAATATTTCGAGTGACATCTCGCCCTTCCCAAAACATTCTTCGACGTTGAAGTGGAACATAACCGCTCAAGTATAATATTGCTATGAAAACGAGTAGCTCATCGTTGCCTAGTTCTAATCGACTGTTTTTGCTACTTGCATACAAAACGGTATATTTTACAAGATCTTCGAGTACATCTGCATTTAGAAAGAGTTCTAAAAAAATCTGAAGGTACACTTTTATCGCTTAGCGTAAGCACAGGTAATATGTCAACCATAGGAAATTTTTCAGTAGATGATTATGACGTTATTTTACCCAAATCACCCTTTGACCAGTTACGCTTTTTTGAAAACTTATTTTTTCTAGACAGTCCACTTTCCTCTTGTAACTGAGTTTCCTTCTCATTGTCACTGTTGTCTTCTTCTAGTTTGTTGCTTTCTGCTTCTGCTTAAAGCTGCCTAGGATTCAGTCTATTCGGATCATTGCAGTCCTCGTCCCCAGAATCCTCACCACTTTCAAAATCATTGTCATCCGGCGGAGTAATATATACATATATCATCAGGAATATCAAGTCTTTCTAGTTCATCTAACAGCTCGGCTGTTGTTAGTGATGTTTTCCTAAATATAAGTAAAATATCTGCCCAACGGGTCGTTAGCGACCCAACCAAATTATACTTCAATTTTACTGTCCAAGCCTGACTTCATAAATGTGAACGTACTATGAA